GTTCTCGATCTCGGTCTGTATCATCTGCCGCGCGATCTCGTCGAACTCAATGTGCCATTGCGAGAATCCGGCGCGAGAGTGCCAGGTGACAAAGTGAAATGGGTCTTCAGCCAGCATCTGTATGTGCTTGTCCACGACCTTGGTCCTGTCTTCCATATTGAGGGTTGCGGGGTCAACTGGCTGTGTCCAGATAGTGGCTCGATTGATGTGCCCTTTGCGAGTCATTTGTGCCGCTGCGTTCGGATCGAGGCCCTCGAAGATGTCCAGATCGCGCTCACGGCTGAGCTTCGTTGCGACGTCGCGGGCGGTTACGAGGAAGCGGGGGTCGATCGAGTTCTCTCCAGCTTCGCCAGCAGGTAGCGGTGGGTCAGGCCACTCTTCCCAACAGCGGGGTGTCTTGGACTCGAGCATGCGCAACATGGTCTGGTAAACGCGCGCAGTAATAGAACCAAGACGTTGTTGTACCAGACTCACCAGCTGCTCCGTCCGCATGGCGACTGCAATCTTCTCCGGGTTCACGCGAATAACGAGGTCGTCGTCCGATGATGGTGCCGCCCATCCATTTGTGCCGTTCACACCGTTGATCTTCACACGCTTGTTGGAACCATTCATTTGTCCGTTTCGGGCGAACTTTGGGACCGTCAGCCATTCGTCGCGCATGGCCCGTTTACGCTGCAAGGTCCCTCTGTGGACAATGTCCTTGTCTTTGGTGCCCGTGGGTGTGACGCCATTGTTGTCTTGCTCGATAGACTCCTGGTAGAGCATGTCGTGCATATCGCCGGGGGAGAGGTATTGTGTTTCGGTGACTGTCCTGATCCAGCCGCGCTCCATCAGCCGCTGAATGATCTCGTACAGCTCCTCGACGGAGCCAATGTCGCTGTCATCCTGTTCTTGTCCGGGCTCTTCTGGAGCGCTGTTGTGGGTCACGCTGTCCACCTTGGAGGGCTTGTGCACACCGTTGGTCTTGCCGTGGCCGTTGGTGAGTTCGGTGGGATCTGGTTTTGCGTCGTCCAACTCAGAGGAGATGCCGTTCGTGACGCCATTTGTCTTCGCTGTCCCGTTGACGTGAGTGCCGTTGGTTCGTTTCCGCTTTGAGCCGGCTCCGTTGGCGGCGCCGTCGTCTGAGTCATAGTCGCTTTCAGTTTCGGAGGGGAAGTAGGCTTCTTTCAAGTCGGCGATGCGTGTGTGGCCGAGCGCGAGCAGGTTGGACATGACGTTGGCGGCCTTTTTGCCGTCGCGGTCTTGGACGAGCTTGACGATCTTGCCGAAGCGGACGATTGCGTACGAGTTTTGCCAGTCGATCTCGTAGTAGGTCAAGGGCGCATCGCTGCCGGAGTGGAAGATGAGGTGCTGCTGGAGGAGGATGACGAGTCCGTACTTGATCTGGCGCGGGTTCAGGTAGGAGACGCGTGCGATGGATGCGAGACTCTGGCGTCCGTGGCGCGCGAGGATCGAAAAGACCCGCTATGACGAGTTAGAAGAGTGCTCTTGAATGCGCCCGTCGCATGCCTGGATGCAGAAGAGTACTGCGCCCGAGCGCGACGATGCGCAGGGACTTGGTTCGACAAGACATACTGCCGCGAGTTCACCGTAGACATCGTTCACCAGGGAGGTGCAGAGCTCAGCAAGGACCTGGAGAGTGGTTGGTTATGATTCATGTGACATGGGCGAGGCGCAAGGGCGGCGCGTCTTACCGGAGTCTCTCGCTGGTTGTAAGACATGATGGAGCCTAGATATTTGCCAGATATCTAGGGTGGGGTAATGCTACCGGGGAGACATTGGCGACGCACGGGGAGAACAAAGCTGGAGCAGAGGGAGCGAGGGTTGAGCAGCGACAGTCTTAGCGACTAGAAAATGATACCGGGTGGGGTCCCAGCTCCGGCCAATGGAGCGGCGGTCGATAGCATTACGGGGCTTGGCGGCCTACGAACTTTGTGACGGGCATCTTCGACAGCCGCACCACCAGACGCATTCCATCCATTGCCGTCCCCCGCACACCACCCAGCCCTCCGCCCGGCGCCTACACCACGATGCTCTCCCGAACGACCGCCTGCCGGGGCGCGCAGCGTGCAGCCCGCCAGCAGCCCGTCGCCCGCTGCCAGCGCCGCGGCCTGGCTGCCCCAGCTTCAGGCTCCTTCAACTACCAGGCCGGCGAGGCCAAGGGCGTCAAGTACGCCAGCAGAGACTTTGCCGGCCCCACGACGACACTGGCCCTTGTCGCAAAGGCCGGCACGCGCTTCCAGCCGCTGCCCGGCCTGACCGAGGGCCTTGCCAACTTCGCTTTCCGGGTACGCTGAATTGAGACTGCCGATGCTATGGCGAGCGAGACTGACGCTCCGGACCTCTAGGGCACCGAAAGACGGTCGACGCTGCGCATTGTCCGCGAATCCGAGCTCCTGGGCGCCAGCCTCAACGCCCACCACTCGCGCGAGAACCTGGTGCTCGAGGCCAAGTTCCTCCGCGATGACCTGCCCTACTTCGTCGAGCTGCTCGGCGAGGTCGCCAGCTCCACCAAGTACCAGCGTAGGCACAATTGATATCACGAGATGGATGGAATTGACACACTGCAGCCCACGTCTACGCCGAGGAGGTGCTCCCCATGATCCACTTCGCCCACAAGAAGTTCCTCGCCAGCGTCACCGACATGGCCACCCAGTCCGCCCACAGCCTTGCCTTCCACCGCGGCCTCGGTGTCCCCACCGCCTCCGCTGCGCCCACGCCCTACACCAAGTACCTCGACGCCGAGACCATTGAGTGGTACTCCAAGATCGCCTACGCGAAGCCCAACTTCGCCGTCGTAGCCAACGGTGCCGACCACGGCGAGTTCTCCAAGTGGGTTGGCGAGTTCTTCGAGAACGTCCCCAGCGCCCCTCTCCAAGAATCCAACACCGGTGCCGACCAGTCCAAGTACTACGGTGGTGAGGAGCGTATTGCCCACGACAGCGGCAACGCCATGGTCATTGCTTTCCCCGGCTCCAGCTCCTTCACCGGCAAGTTCTACAAGCCCGAGATTGCCGTTCTCAGCTCTCTCCTCGGAGGCGAGTCCGCTGTCAAGTGGTCGCAGGGCTTCACCAAGCTCGGCCAGGCCGCTGCTCAGGGTGCCAAGGTCAAGACCACCAGCGCCATCTACTCCGACGCCGGTCTCCTCTACACCACCATCACCGGATCCGCCAAGGCTGTCGCCCAAACCGCCCAGGCCGCTGTTGATGCCATCAAGAAGATTGCTTCCGGCGAGATCTCGAGCGAAGAGGTCTCCAAGGCAAAGGCCGCCGCCAAGTTCAAGGAGCTCGAGCACGGCCAGGACATCCGCGCTGGTCTCGAGCTTACTGGCAACGGTCTGATCCACAACACCCAACCGTACCAGATCGACGAAGTTGCTCAGAAGATTGATGGCGTAACAGAAGAGTCCGTCAAGAAGGTGAGTCTTTACACCATCATTACCCTCGTGCTATGTGCTAACAACTACGTCAGGCTGCTAAGGAACTACTTGAGAGCAACGCCTCGGTATCATCCGTCGGTGACCTTTTCGTACTCCCCTACGCTGCGGATCTCGGCCTGAAGGTGTAAATACAGTGATTATGTAGCGCAGTAGATGTGGAATCTCGTTTGTGTAACATTATCTTGTGATAGTCCCGCATAGATGCATCTCGTATGAGAATTCTTTTGTTCAGACTCATCCTAATTGATCAAAAAGCGTGATGACTTGCTGTGAGACCATTATTGGGTTTCCAATCAATTCATAGCGCCTATGGTCATGAGTGGCGTTCAGTATCAAGCCTCCCACGTGCCAGCGCGTCGACGCACAGACCCATCTGCACGCATCGACGTCAACAGACACGTCTACCCACGCATCCCATCCCGTATTGTGCTCAACAACCCCGCACATCGCACCGACTATACCCCAAGGTCTCTCCAGAAACACCTTCCCCGTTCATTGCGCAAGTCGCGCAAACAACAAACGCATACCATGGCGCCGACCCTCTACCCCCGCGGCACCGTCAAGAAGATCGTCAAGGCGCATTCCAACAGGCCTTTGAGCAAGAACGTGGATATACTGGTACGTTGAGTCAATGAGTAGGAGTGGAGATGGAAGGCTGATATGCGACGCAGATATACCTGAACTATGTGCTGTTTATGCAAGAGTACGTACCTACAATGTCATACACTTCACTCCACGACGCGATGCGATGCACTGCCCTACCTTTGATTCACATCCTGGCGCGGTGCGACGAAGGTCGGATATTTTGAAAGGGAACAGAGCCATGAAACACTTTCGCGCAGGCGATATGCGGACATGAAAGCAGGGAATAAAAGGAGAAGACAGGAGCTGACAATACCCGCAGACTCATCAACGAAGCGAGCATCAAGAGCAAACAACGTGGCGAGCGGGGTCTATCCGCGAAGAGTGTCAAAAGGGTCAGCGAGGATGTGTTGAGGAAATACAAGGGTTGAGCGTGGTGGGCTTGAGGGCATGGGTGTGGGCGTGGCGCCCACGTGTGGATACATTGACTGTGGAAGATGGGACTGCGGAGATTGGAATGCCGCTGTCACACTGGACTTCAGAGACTGGCGGGTCAAATGCGGGTGCGTTCTGGGGGCTTTGGTTTGGTGTTTGTGATACCCGGGTATATATTCAAGGCGTAATGGAAACGCTTCGACTTTTAAGTGGTGTTATGTGAGATCATGAAGTGATCAGAAGGCATGGGATAAGTGACCATTGTGTGTTGAAGAACCACTGCTACGTTCTCGCAATAGGTAAGGTATTGTAGCGATCGGTCACAATGTACTCCAATCGCCTTTGGTAGAGGCAGCTTCCTCAGACAAGGATCCAACGCCGAACGCCTACCGCTGTCTTTGGTTTCTTTCCCACCAATTGTGGGTCGAATACCTCCTGCTTCTGCTCGGCATCCCGTTGTACCACAGTACGCATCTCTTCCTATCCTGAGCTTGGGGATAATGAACCTCCGACATACCGACGAACTGGGAGATTGGAAATACTACTAGTCCCTCATGCCCATGTACACATCAAAGTAGCTTGACGCCAGTAACGCATTCGCTGCCTGGCGATCTTCCAGACGAAGTTGATACGGGCAATACGCTGCGCTACCGTGCTTGAACTTGCCGGGGAGGGTACTCGGCTCGTCAATGTTGTAGTCGGAAAGAATCTTGCCCAATTCGGTGGCCTGATCGCGCAGTTGTTGTTGTATGTAAAGGGGTGTCCATGAATGTGAGTCGTTCCATATGTTGATGGCTCGGTGGAAGCCAGCTGCTTCCGCTATCTGAAGATCCAAGTCCGAGTGTTTCGCGACCGGAGGCTGCTCGACTGGGCGGGACTCTAATTTGATCAGCTTGATCTTAACGAGTCGTTTGCCGAGATCGTCTCCAAAGCACTCATCGATCCAGGATTGCGGTAGTCCGTGCCAGAGGCTGAACTGGAGATATATCAGTAACAAGTTCAGTGCAAGACAGCAGGCGTAAACTTACATCGAATTGACGAGGGTTCTTGGTAAGGATTGCCATGTCGTTGGCGTTGAGCTTCGCCTCCACCGGTACGATTTGGATTCGTGCGTCGTGTGCTTTCATGGCTTCGAGCGCCGCAGCGTCGAACCTCTTTTGCTTGTACGTAGCAACCGCAGTGGCGAGGAGAGGCGCCATAATTCAGTCGGGGTGAGGTATTGAGGGCAGTGAAGTAGCGCGTAGATGATGGAAGGTAGAGTTGGATTTTGATGTTGTGTGTGGATTGAGTAGCAGAGGTGAGAGAGCGACAGACTGCTTAACAGGCAGGCGCGTCTTAATATCGAACTCAAGGTAAGTCTCAATCGGGCAGACACGGTGACCGCGCGCGCATCTCAGCATCCTCTCTGTCTTTACAGATATCGAGCTGCTAGTTCCTAAGTATCTCTTATTCCTAGATTGTCTTGTTACCTATGCATGTAAGCACGCCGACGGCTTTGTAGTCTTCGTGAAGCAACCTTACTTGAAGAACTAGCTACTGTATTTGAACACGCAATATGTCTACACATCTTGTAGTAACGAACCCGAGAGAGAATAACTTGCGAGGGTGACTAGTCGCCTCCGTTTTCAAGCGTTCAGCTCCCTTCTTGGGCTTATGAACTCGCTTCACGGACTGATCGCGACTAGTTGAAATGGTGTACATTCAAATGTAGATACTTGACCACTCGTTGTCTTCTTTGACCTACCCTTCACCACCATACTTCTTGATAAGATCTCGCATGATACTGACCGCGCCGCTCCGATAACTTCCCCCGAACATTGCATAGTGATTCAGGTGATGGTACAGCTCATATAGCTTCACCCTGTCTTCGTATTCGTCCACAGGCTCCGTCTTTGGACACAGCTGATGGTACTCTTTCAGGAAACTTCCACCGAAGCCACCAAACATGTTCATGGCGCCTAGTTCATACTCGCTGTGCGCGTAGCATGCCGACGAGTCGTAGACCACGTCTTCAGGCTCGCCCTTCTTATTACCAATGACGCCTGCGCTTGCATTGCCGCTCCATAAGTCGCCATGCACAACGACAGGTGTAACTCCCTCGCCGTTATTGAGATGTTCATCGCCAATCAAGCGGGGTACTACCATGGCCGCGGTCTGCTCGACTAGCTTCTTGACCTCGCCGTCCCTGCGCCCATTCTGCTCCGCGGATCGTAGGATGGATCTGAGACGGTTTTCCGCGTAAAAGTCTGCCCAGCTTTCCTTATAGGTGTTATCTTGTGGTGTATCGCCACAACACGTTGTCACTGGAAACCCAAACACAGGCTTGTCACAGCCTTCTGGTATGGGCGCAGGCGTGGTATGTAGCCTTGCGAGCTTAGCTGCCAGCGATGGCGCTTTCGACTTTGAACTCGATCGTCCCGTGAGGTGAAGGAATTCAGTCACGAGGAAGGATGTGGATGGCTGCGATTCGAATTGTCCGTGGCCGAAGGGTTGAGGGCATAGAGATGGTACGACGTCGTGGATGGCTTGGAGGGATGCGTACTCGCCTTCATCGCGCTGTCAGTTGATTAGCCAGCCCAGAGGTGCTAGAGATTGCGCGTACCTTGGAACATGACGTCGGCCTCTTTCCCGTTCCCAGTCTTCATGAAGAATGTCTGATCTGTGCCATCGTCAAGTTGTGACGTGATCTTCAACGTCGATGCTGAGCTCGAGCCGCCTCCGCCTGCGGAAGAGACGTGCGTCTTGTCAAGGTTCAGGCCGAGGAGCCTGATGACTGCTGGGTCGAGCTTCATGGTGGATTCTGTCGCAAGAGAGCGCGCGACTTGGATGTAAACACGACATTGTGGGGATGGCGGTATCTTGAGGTGGGTTGATGGTGACGTCAGCCTTACCATCCCGCGCGGTGGAAGCTCGAGTCGCGCTGACGCGTCCTTAGCGTTGCGACCACAACCTCCCGCATTCACGATATCAAATCGTGCTACAGGACGATACCTACGTCCCTGACATCGAGCGCGTGCTCCAAGCGCGACGCTTCCGCTACCATCATCGAACGATGTGACAGCCTTGCGTCCATGCATCTGCGGCTCGACTTCGCTACGCAACCTTGGCGGGTAGCGCCGTGCTTAGAAATGCGACAACTATCGGAAGGCTGTTGGCGATGAATCCTACACATGCAGGTACGAAGTTCGTACATGGCTTACAACCGTTCGTACGCCGATATGTCATCTTTGCGTTGGGCGCCTTATTTTTTCGAACGTTCGCGATGTTCGTATAGCCTATCTGGCCCAAGGTCCCAAACCTACAAGTATCTTCCCACCCGCCGAGAAAGAGATGGATATCCTGCCGTGGAGCCAGAGATCTACCTTTGTTCCTTTGAACCGACTTCATCTCGATCGTAACTCACCAGCAACACGCGAGAACGAGAACTGCAACCTCGTCCCACCAACATGTCTTCCACCATAGTCCTCATTACAGGCGCCAATCGAGGCATCGGTCTCGGTCTTACCGAGCGCTTCCTGGCAAAGCCCTCGCACACCGTCATTGCCGCAGTACGCAACCCGGAGCACGCGACCGCGCATGCGCTACAAGACCTGCCCAAGGGTTCCGACAGCCAGCTTATTGTCGTGAAGCTCGACGCAAGCATCGAGCAGGACGCGCATGATGCAGTCGCCGAGCTGCAGCAAAAGCACCAAATCCATCACCTCGACATTGTGATTGCGAACGCCGGCATCAGCTACATCTTACCCACTGTCGCAGAGGTCAAGATTGCGGACATCAGGGCGCACATGGAACCCAATGTCTATGGCGTGATAGCGCTATATCAAGCGACGCGCCCATTCCTGAAGAAGTCGACGCGCGAGCCAATCTTTCTGCCTATGGGGTCGTCGGCGGGGTTGTTGGTGTAAGTGAACGTGACATTTCTCTCGCGCACCCGTTTGACCATGACTCCAGCAATCACCTGCCCATTCCCAACGCGGCGTATGCGCCGACCAAGACAGCGCTCAATTGGTACACGATTCGCATCAACGCCGAGGAGAATTGGCTCAACTGCTTTGCGTTCGACCCGGGCCATGTTTCGACAGATATGGGCAACGGCGCGTCCCAGGCTTTGGGTATGGGCGAGAAGGCGCCGGTCTCGGTTGAGGATTCCTGCGAAGGCATGATGCGGGTGTTTGCGAAGGCCTCGAAGAAGGAGTACGGTGGCAAGTTGGTTGTATATACTGGTGAGATATCGGGGTGGTGAGGTCGGGTCGAAAATTCATCTGGAAGGCCGCGCGAGCAATTGTATCTTGTAGCAACTATGACTGCTCTTCTCACAATGTCCTGGTTCAACATACACATCTCAACGCCGACAGCTGGTCATTTTCAGAGGACGAAGATCGGGCTGTACGTTTGTTTGATGGTGAGGGAGCGTGGGTGGTCATCGCGGCAGTAGTTCGTCTTCAAATACGGGTTGTCAAAGGTGGGCAGTCTGACATGGGAGTCGCCGGCGGACGTGATGTCGCGCACGCGTGACGTTGCGCGAGCGCTTTTGCCGACGGTTCTTGATGGCAACGTCTGGAGCCAGTCGTTCCAAGTCGCGCACACGCTACTTGATGAGTCTATGTTGCGTAATGCAGGCAAGACTGAGTTGTTAACAGACTAATTGCCGGCAATAGCGTTAGTATTACTACTGCCTACAAAGACAATAGTATAGTTATTCGTTATAGAGTATTACCCTACAATATGCATTCTATACGCTCGCTACTATAGTCTAAGTAGTCTAAGTAGTCTAATAAAGGTATAGTAATGCGTAAGAGCGTGTTACCTATATAGTAATAGACGTTTACGCGTAAGTAGCTCTATCTACTATATTAAGCTAGAGCTTAAAATAAAGAAGTATTAGCTCTTAATTCTATTATTTACGTATAGAGTTAGTTAGTATATTAAGCTTAGCTTAAACCTATATTTCTAAGATATATAATAATTCTAACTAAAAGCTTAGTTCTTATTAATTAGATATAAAGCCTAACTAATATAAAGTAATAAGAATATATATTCTTACGCTAAACTAGACTAAGTGTTAGAGCTTACTAACCTAGAATAGTAGAATCTAAGAGTATTCTAACTAATATAAAGTAATAAGAATATATATTCTTACACTAAACTAGACTAAGCGTTAGAGCTTACTAACCTAGAATAGTAAAATCTAAAAGTATTTTTATTTAGTATTCTTATAGATATTACTATTTAAATTCTATTATTTTTATACTATAGATTAATCTTTTACTATTAGAATATATCTTTTAAGTAATAATACTAATAATTATCTACTATTATATATTATATTAAGCTATAGAAAATATAAAGTTCTTATAGATTATATAACTATCTAATACACTAGCTATCTAAGAAATATTAACTACTATAATAACTATACACTACTTATATAATCTACTTATATTACTTAATATAATTAAAAATATAATATACTATTTATATAAGTATAGAACGCTTATTTATAAGTAGTATATAACTATACTATAGAATCTTAATATATATCTATATTAATATTCTAGTATTAGTAGCTAGCTATAGTAGTAGATTATTATAAGTTATAATAATTATAAATAGATTTATAACCTAACTAATATAAGATAATAAGAACATATATTCTTACACTAAACTAGACTAAGTATTAAAGCTTACTAATCTATCTAAGAAAATATCTTAAAGCTACTAAGCTTAAGTAATTTTTAGTAGAAATAATAAGTACTAATAAGAAATAAAGAGTAGCTTTAAAGTAGTAGCTCTAAAGTAGTAGCTCTAAAGCTTTTAAACTTTACTACTAAAGAGCTTAGATAAAATCTAAGTAAGCTATCTTATATAGAATAACTATATAAATTTAATACTTTACTTAGCTTATTAATAGCTACTTATATTATAAAGTTATAAAGTAAAAAAGTTTTAGACTAAATTTTAAAGTTCTTTATATAATTACTATACTTACTACTAGTATAGTTTATATATAGCTAGAATTTAGTGCTTATAAATAAATTTTAATATCTATAGCTAAATTTTAAACTTAAAGTAAAGCTAAAATTAAATATCTATAGTTAGAATTAGTTACTAAATTAAGTACTTAAAATAGGCGCCTCTATAGCTTATTTTTATATCTAACTTTAGATTTAATACTATATATACTATATAGACCTTATAT